TGAAACATGGCTTTTTCAGGGTTTATGCCCAGTAGTGGGATTGCTGGGTCATGTGGTAGTTCTATTTTTAGTTATTTAAGGAGCCTCCATACTGTTCTCCATAGTCACTTTATCAATTTATATTCTGACCATCAGTGCAAGAGTGTTCCAATAGTCTTTATGCTACTCTATTTTGTCTTGGGTTTCCTTGGTGACTCAGTAAAGAGGTAAAGAATCTGCCTGCCAATGGAAGAGGCATGCATTTGACCCCTTGGTCAGGACTATCCCCTGGAGAAGGAAATGGCAACCCATTTCAGTATTCTTGCCTGGAAGATCCACTGGACAGAGGAACCTGGAAGTTTACAGTCCAGGAGGTTGCAAGAGTTGGACTTGACTTAGTGACTAAACAGCAGCAGCAACATTTTTTCTTATATGAGTATGACTACTCCAGCTTTCTTTTGATTTCCATTTGCATGGAATATCTTTCCATTCCCATCAGTTCTTCTTTTCTAACAATTTTATAGATTTTCTTTTTTTGCCTTATACTTTAAATCTATTCACAGGTGTATTAGGAAGTTAATTGTTATACCTTTTTTGGTCAATTTTAATTTATTTATTATTATAATCTATAGGTCTAAGTTTGTAAATCTTCTGAATATGTGTCTTAGCACTTTATTACCCACAAGATATAATTTTTCTTCATTAATATAAAATTTTTAATGAGTAAAGATTTTTTTGTATTTGTGATACTTTACATAAGTATCACATATACATAGTGTTTATTAGTTATTAGTGTTTATCATGTATACATTCTAATATGTCATAACAGTGTTTAAGCCAAGGTTTCTTGACTTTGGCACTACTGATATTTTGAGCCAGACAAATCTATGCCATGCTGGGCTATCCAGTGCATTGTAAAAGGTAAATAAAATGATATCCCTGGTTTTCACTAGACTCCAAAAGCATTACCCACTCCTAGTTGTGACAACCAAAACTATCACCACTCATTAAAAAATGTCTTCCATGTCACAAAATTATTCTTGGTTTAGAATGATACTTTACATCAATTTAATCCTCACAATACCCACAATATCCTAAGTCAAGTAAGTAATATAAGATTCTACCACCTGTGAATGGGTCTAAAAGTACATTTTGGTTTGCCTAAACTCTTAGCCATTGCACTTTACTACCTCTCACACTGAGTCATCTGGGACATCAATAACATGCAACTTCAAATGAAAGAATTGGTTTAATTTGCCTAGAGTCCCTTGATTTTTAAATGAGAATTTAAAAACTCCCACGTGATTTTTAAATGAGAAATGAAAGAAAATCCATCCCAGCTCTAGAGTACCCAAGAAGAGAAAGCAGCTGGAAGTTAACCTCATCAGAGATGTGATTCAAAAAGAGCCTGACTATTAGACAATGTGTCTGCTCCTCCTCCTTCCCACTTTCCTCATGCTCATTATTTTAATTGCCTGAAAGGCACACTTTGTGCCTTAGAGAAAATGTAGCACAGTGACTTGAGTAGAGTCAGCGTTTTGGAATTACATATTGAGTTGAATTAATTGGAAAATGCTTTTTGGATTCTTCATGGGTTCCCAGTGAATCCATTTTTTGGCCTCCTTATCAAAGATGAAACTATGAGCTTTTGACTTAATCTGTTTTTCTATATTTATTACCTGATTCTTCTGGATACCCAAACAAGTGCTCACACTGGGATGGTGAAGAGAAGGAAGTGGGGAAAGCAGTTCTTCTGGCCTCCAGAAAAGGCCAGATCTCATTGGGTAAGCGGTCAAGTTATAAACAGAGGAAAACCAGAGGTCACAAGGCTGAGAAGGAGCAAGTAGAGAAATTAGGGATATGATGAAAATCAAGGCAGCTGGAATTTAATTGACTCTGTCTGGCCTTAGCCACTCACTGACATTGGAGCCTCCCAGTCTTTCTGGGTCTAAGTTTTCTATCTGTTAATACATACAGTATAAATATATAATTTCCTTGAAAGATAAAGATTGGTACAAAGTAGACTAATTCAGACAACCTGAGAATACACTGGGCTACACCTAAAGGAATGGTGGTGGTGGTTTAGTTGCTAAGTTATGTCCAACTCCTGAGAACTGATGGACTGTAAGCTGCCAGGTTCCTCTGTCCATAGGATTTCCCAGGCAAGAATACTGGGTGGGTTGACATTTCCTTCTCCAGGGGATCTTCCTTCTCCAGGGACTGAACCCATGTTTCCTGCATTGGAGGCAGATTCTTTACTGTTGAGCCACCAGGGGCTTCCCACACCTAATAGAAGATTTTGGCCTAATTCTTACATATAACTTTAATAATACTGCTAGCTATGTTATTTGCACTTTGCCTATTTTATGAGATTGTTGTTTCCTGCATTACCAAATGTGTGGCTGAATCTCCAGCAAAATAATAATAACTAGGTGACTTGGAACATTTGATCAAATACACAGCTCTGTATGCAATTGATAATTGTAATTACTCTAGATATGGAAGGATACAAACAGGAGGAAATTTTTCCTGGACTGTAAGAGGCTGAGTAAGACAGGTTGGTCCAGCCCTTTGGTTACTGTTGATAGTAACAGTACACTGACTGGCCTATCAGCAAAATCCTTGCCAGACCTAAGAATGAGTTCCTTGCTCCATGGGATGAAACGGTCATGAAATGCCTCCCAAAGTATGGTCAAATGTGTAACCATGAGGGGGCCCTGTCAGCTACAAATTTTCACCTACCTCTGCAAGAATGAAATCGTGAGCTGGGGCAGCTGCTGATTTTCAACATCCCCTGAAAAATGTTCAGGGTGGAGAGCAAAAATGAGGCACTCTGTGCTCAGGGCAAAGCTGGCAGGATGGGTTTTCATATAGATATTTTTAGGAACTGATCTTATGAGCCTAATTTTTGTACCTCCTCATATCTAGAAAAGTACTAAAATCCTTCATGGTGACAACTGTTCCTTGTGACTAGTAGAAAGCTTCACCAGACTAGCAGAAAGCTTCTGGAAAAATATGTACTTGATTATATATATTCCCTCTTCACCAAAACAAAATATATATACTGACCTCCCCTCACCCTGCATATTTGGAGCAATTTCTCAGAGCCATCTGAGGTGCTGTCTCCCAGCCTACAGTCCTCATTTTGCCCCCAATAAAACTTAACTAACACAACAACAACAACAAAAATACCTACAGTCTAGATAAGGCTGTGATGTATAGGGCTTGGGGAGAGGAAGCATACCCTCAGTAGACTCCTGCCACACTGAGTATTATCTATGGTAGGTGCCCAAATAATTATTTTTAAAATGGACAATATCCAGCCAAGCGGCACTTTACAGTTTATGATGCACTTTCACATGCTTTATCTCAGTTGATCCTCTTAGTGATTGCATGGGATAGGCCAGGTATTATTATTTACATTTAAGAGATTATGAAACAAGCTTGGAGATAATGGTCAGCATTAGAGGTGCAAAGACAGCTTTCAGTTTTCTAAAACACAATGTACTTTCTCTTCTGCACCATGATGCTGCTTAGGAACAAGAAAAAAATATTCCTCTCTCTCAATAGAGCTGTTCTTTGGATTTCATCATCAGCTCACCCAGATAGCCTCACCAGACCCCTGTATGCAGCATCCCTCTTATGGGGTACACTCTATGCTCCTGAACATCATGAACTTAACTCTACATTGCACCAATTATAATGTTTAATTGGACTTACTGGGTGGCTCAGATGGTAAAGAATCTGCCTACAATGCAAGAGACCTGGGTTCGATCCCTGGGTTGGGAAGATCCACTGGAGGAGGGTATGGTAACTCACTCCAGTGTTCTTGCCTGGAGAATCCCATGGACAGAGGAGCCTGGCGGGCTATAGTCCATGAGGGTCTCAAAGAGTCAGACCCGACTGAAGCGACTAAGCACACACAGTGTCTAATTAGTTATCCGCCTCTACTACTAGACGATAGCTTCTTGAAGGCAGAGCCTGAATCTTGTTCAGTGTTTCATCCCAAGGTCTAACTCAGTGCCTGCTGATAGGTGCTCACAAATATTCGTTAAATTAACTGAAGCTCAACAGACTGAGGAGTGCCTAAGTTTATCACATGGAAAGTTAAAAGACAAAACTTTCCCTTAAGTTCCCTGTCCACAAGTAATTTTATGTGTTGATTCTAGCTTCTATTAAGTCAGTAAACTATTCACATTTTATAAGAATGATTTTAAACTCAAAAATTCAAAATAGACCACATTTACATTTGAAATTTTCAGACCAGTACCCTCATGTATATGCCCTCAATTTTATGTAAATAATATTGGGAAAATGGATGGTTAAGCTGCTAAATCTTAAGTTAATGTATAGGTACCAGATTTGCGTGAACTAGTCATTAGGTCCTAAGATATAAACACTTTCAATAGATAAGTAAATAGGCAACATAATTTATCATTGTTAATGTTTTTGCTGTTTTTAGTGGAAGTAATTAGCATCTCCAAACCACAAAAGCTTGGCTCATTTATATCATACTCATCAAATGCACCTGAATGGCCACCTTTATGAGATTTTAATTTTCAAAAGATCTCATTCGTGTTGATGTTTGGCAGAAACCAACAAAATTCTGTAAAGCAGTTATCCTTCAATTAAAAAATAAATTAAAAGAAATTTTAAAAACACACACACACAATAAAAAAAATCAGAAGAGGAATGGGAAATCTGTAGCAAATGATACTTGGAATAGGAAGGTGCACAGCTTAAGTGTATACATCATTGATGTCAACCCCTGCTATTTCCTTCCATGCTTTGAACATCCTTAAATAAATGAAGGAAAAAGAATTACAGAGATGCTAAAAGAATGAAAAGGAAAAAAACGGATTACTAAAGCCAAAATATATATATATTCTACTTAAAAACAAGACATGGGCAAGAGGCATTTAGAAATTGCCTCTAAAGTGTGGTTTGCTATATATTGCAGTCCAAGTTCAGTTGACGATCTAAGTCAACCCTGAACTTATTGCTTTTCTGTCACCAAATAGGATTTTCTGGCGTCGGCAGGTTCACTTGATGTCAGGGATCCGGCCCAGCACCATCACCAGCTCCTTCCCCCAACTTATGTCCAATGTGGATGCAGCTTACGAAGTGGCTGAGAGGGGCACAGCCTACTTCTTTAAAGGTACGCTGAAGATCCCGCCAAGAAAGAAGTGGCAGGGCACAGGACACGGTGTGTCTGGAGCACCCAGAACCATCAGTGTTTGGTAGCAACCACAGAGCAGTTCCAGCCATTTCTGCTCCTCAGACTGGGGATGAAACATCCCTCTACCGTATTGTGATGCTGACAGCAGTGACGGTGACTATCAAACTTCCAGAGCCAAAGATGCAGTCCGGTGAGGCTCGGTGATAAGCAAGTGTCCGGGAAGCTAGAAACCTGCTCCCTGCCCCGCCCTGCCACCCCCCTCCCCCCCAGACCTCTGCTCTGAGTGACATGGTATTCTCTACTGAGAGCCTCTAATTCGCAAAAGTCAGCGTGGAAATCTCAGCAAAGCAGTACAAGCATCTGGGAGCAGAGACACGCCTGGACTCTGTCTCCAGCCCTTTACTATTTGAGTGCCTTAGGGAAGTTATCCAATTGCTTTGCATCTTCATTTCTTCCTGTGCAAAATAGTTATTGTAATAACAACCTTGAAGATGTGACTGTAGCTAGCCAATGGAAATTGTCCAGCAAATGTTAGCTTTCAGTTTAGATTGTATTTTCTTAATGCCAAGGGCTGAGGATGGAAGATTAGTGCCAATTTAAGCAAGAATCAGCATTTGTGTTTCACTTGCCCCTTCCTTCTCTCTCACACATATATAAGACTGAAATGAGATTATACAGATGAAAAGTGTCTTAAAAAAATGAATGAATGTGTTGCATTTAAGACACAGTTGTATCAGTATTATTGCCTTCATAAGGCATAACTAGGGATTTCTGCCTCCAGGGCAAGTTTTAAGTCTTTTACTGAACTGAATAGAGACTTGTATCTCCTCCTGGGTTTTAGCCATGGCAAATATCCCATAAACTAGCCCCATTTGTAATCCTGCATAGTAATCCTAATGAGTGAAGGGCATCACTAAATAGTACGGAGTTTTTGTCAACTTTAATTTCTGGTTCCAGGACCCCACTATTGGATAACAAGAGGATTCCAAATGCAAGGTCCTCCTCGGACTATTTATGACTTTGGGTTCCCAAGATATGTGCAGCGAATAGATGCCGCGGTCTATCTCAAGGATGCACAGAAGACCCTTTTCTTTGTGGGAGATGAATACTACAGGTATGGCTTTTCTCTTTGTGATTGTCCAGCTGTATTCAATGAGAAGGAAAAATCCTTTTGCCGAAAAGAATGAAAGGCAAATTTACAATAGGCCCATTGACTCTTCTCAGTCACTAGGGTGTCATTTACTGATGGTTGACACTGTCTTCAAGATACAGAACCATTCAAATAAGTGAAACATTCATGCAATAATCCCACTGTTTGGTGTCTTAACACATGAAACATCCTAATCTTTCAAAGTACTCATTAGCTGGATGCCCAGTGGCCTAAAAGAGTGGAGGTACTATTCCCAATACATACCTACCATGAATGCCTTGAAAGAAGAACTGATTCCTTCTTACGTGAGTATATCTTATTGATGCATGAATATCACTGCATTCCAGAATGCTCTGTACAAAGTGAATGTGGTGATGACTGTGGGGCTCTTTGAAGGAAATTTTTGCTGAAAGGCAAAGGCCTTATTGCTATGTTCTTTAACCTAGAACATGAAAATTCTTCTTATCCAAACAAAGATCATGTGTAATTTCCAGGCCTGTCTTATAAGAGGTTACTATGAGCAGATTCAATCACTGTACACAGGGTCACACCTCGTCTCTCCTGCCTCATCTCACTACCTTAACTGACTCACATTGAAGAACTGGGTACAACTTTGTCAAGCTCTGCCTCTACACCTTCTCTAGTCACAGTTCTCACTTCAGCATTCCTTGTCTTTCTGAACTTTAAGAGAGAAGCAAAAACAGATTCTAAACAGGTAACTATGCTAAACTCTGTAGGTCTATGTTAGGACCTTGTTGGCAGTGGAGAACAACTCAGCTTTGGTCTAAGGGTTTCCGTTTTATTTTGTATTACCTATTTTTAATAACCATATCTGTGGTATAAAATAAATTTATAAATACATATCTATCATCTTCCTCTACTTCTTCAGTTTGGAGCTGAAAACGTAATCTAACAGAAGCACAGATATACTTCAGGAAAACTTATTTCATAAAAATGAATGTCACATGTGGACCCTCCAGACTCTTCTGAGGCACTGAGAGCCTTGGAAGCATTGCTCAAAGTGTCTTGTGTTGTCATGCTTTCACACTTCCAGTCCAGTGTTTAACCACTAAGCCAGCTAATTTTCTTTCAGAACTTCCTTTATAAAATAGGAATAGTTATTCACTTATTAAGTCCCTAGTATCTGCTGGCCATGTTCTCCAAAGTTTTTCTTCGAGATAAGGTGGCTGTCATCACCATGCTGACCTATAGGGAGATACATATTAAGAAACTCAACTCCCATTTTAGGTTTTCAGAGAATGGTGTCCAGAGATGGAGTATATGAGCTGGCGTGTCAGAGTGTGAGTTGTGATTATCCATTTAACTTGTCAAAGTCTGTTCACAACTTGATTCTCCCTGGGGGGATTATCCACTCTCATGGTTTCTATGATCCATTCATTGCCTAGGACTTTGGTTCTAGTCTTTGGACTAATACTACTACCCACTAGAACCCAAAGTCAAACACATCCCTCCAACCAAGCAGGACTGAGGCTGAACAGCTAACATGAGGAGCTTGGTGAAAGGTTTTTAATTCTCTGTAAATTAAGGAATGGGAGGGAGAGGATCTCTGATATTAATGATGGCTAATAACCCCTGTGGAAAAAATACTGAAACTTTCCAACTGAACCTCTATGAGATTCTATTAAGGAGAAGTCTTTGGCAATCTAGATAAAGCAAATTCATTGAAAGTTGGCCTAGGACATTAATTCAAATATTAAAGAACTCATTTTGCCAGAAACGAAAAGAAACCACAGTAGCCACTTTTGATGTTAACCTCCCTGGGTTACTGAGAGTATTTAGTGAAATAATGGATGTAGCTACCCAACACTGCCTAACATATTGCAGGTGCTCAAAAAGAGTAACTCTTTAGTAATAAAAGGAACTTACAGGTTGTTGTTGGCCAGTCGCTCAGTCGTGTCCGACACTTTGCCACCCCATGGACTGCAGCACACCACACTTCCTGGTCCCTCACCAACTCCCAGAACTACTCAAACTCATGTCCGTTGAGTGGGTGATGCCATCCAGCCATCTCATCCTCTGTTGTCCCCTTCTCCTTCTGCCTTCAATATTTCCCAGCATCAGGGTCTTTTCAAGTGAGTCAGCTCTTTGCATCAGGTGGCCAAAGTATTGGCACTTCACCTTCAGCATCAGTCCTTCCCGTGAATATTCAGGGCTGATTTCCTTTAGGATGGACTGGTTGGAATCCTTTTAGTCCAAGGGACCCTCAAGAGCCCACTGTTCTCCAACACCACAGTTCAAAAGCATCAATTCTTCAGCACTCAGCTTTCTTTATAGTCCAACTCTCACATCCATACATGACTATCGGAAAAACAATAGCCCTGACTAGATGGACCTTTGTTGGCAAAGTAGTGTCTCTGCTTTTCAATATGGGGTCTAGGTTGGTCATAGCTTTTCTTCCAAGGAGCAAATGTCTTTTAATTTCATGGCTGCAGTCACCATCTGCAGTAATTTTGGAGCCCAAGAAAATAAAGTCTGTCACTGTTTCCATTGTTTCCCCATCTATTTTCATGACGTGATGGGACCAGATGCAATGATCTTTGTTTTTTGAATGTTGAGTTTTAAGTGAGCTTTTTCACTCTCCTCTTTCACCTTCCTCAAAGGCTCTTTAGTTCTTCTTCGCTTTCTGCCATAAGGGTGGTGTCATCTGCATATCTGAGATTATTGATATTTCTCCCAGCAATCTTGATTCCAGCTTGTGCTTCATCCAGCCCTGCATTTCACATGATGTACTCTGCATATATGTTAAATAAGCAGGGTTCCCAATTCGGAACCAGTCTGTTTTTCCATGTCCAGTTCTAACTGTTGCTTCTTGACCTGCATACAGGTTTCTCAGGAGACAGGTCAGGTGGTCTGGTATTCCCATCTCTTGAAGAATTTTCCACACATTATTGTGACCCACCCATCAAAGGCTTTAGCATGGTCAATGAAGCAGAGGTTGATGCTTTTCTGGAAGGCTCTTGCTTTTTCGATGATCCTACAGATGTTGGCAATTTGATCTCTGGTTCCTCTGCCTTTTCTAAAACCAGCTTGAACATCTGGAAATTATTGGTTCATGTACTGTTGATGCCTGGCTTGGAAAATGTTGAGTATTATTTTGCTAGCCTGTGAGATGAGTGCAATTGTGTGGTAGTTTGAATACTTTTTGGTGTTGCCTTTCTTTGGGATTGGGATGAAAATGGACCTTTTCCAGTCCTGTGGCCACTGCTGAGTTTTCCAAATTTGCTGGCATATTGAGTACAGCACTTTAACAGCATCATCTTTTAGGATGTGAAATAGCTCAGCTGGAATTCCATCACCTCCACTAGTTTTGTTCATAGTGCTGCTTCCTAAGGCCCACTTAACTTGACACTCCAGGATGTCTGGCTCTAGGTGAGTGATCACACCATCATGGTTATCTGGGTCATTAAGATTTTTTTTATAGTTCTTCTGTGTATTCTTGCCACCTCATAATATCTTCTGTTAGGTCCATATGGTTTCTGTCCTTTTTTTGTGACCATCTTTGCATGAAATATTCCTTCAGTATCTCTAATCTTCTTGAATAGATCTCTAGTCTTTCCCATTCTATTGTATTCCTCTATTTCTTTGCACTGATCACTTAGGAAGACTTTCTTATTTCTCCTTGCTATTCTTTGGAACTCCATTCAGATGGATATATCTTTCCTTGTCTCCTTTTCCTTCAGCTTCTCTTCTTTTCTCAGCTATTTGTAAGGCCTTCTCAGACAACCATTTTGCCTTTTTGCATTTCTTTTTCTTGGGGATGGTCTTGATCACTGCCTCCTGTACAGTGTCATGAACCTCCATCCATCATCCTTCAAGCATTTTGTCTATTAGATCTAATCCCTTGAATCTATTTGTCACTTCCACTGTATAATTGTAAGTGATTTGATTTAGGTCATACCTGAATGGTCTAGTGGTTTTCCCTACTTTCTTCAATTTAAGTCTGAATTTGGCAATAAGGAGTTCATGATCTGAGCTACAGTCAGTTCCCAGTCTTGTTTTTGCTGACTGTATAGAGTTTCTCCATCTTCAGCTGCAAAGAATATAATCAATATGATTTTGGCATTTACCATCTGGTGATGTCCTTGTGTAGAGTTGTCTCGTGTTGTTGGGAAAGGGTGTTTGCTATGACCAGTGTGCTCTCTTGGCAAAACTCTGTTATCCTTTGCTCTGCTTCATTTTGGACTGCAAAGTCAAACTTGCCTGTTATTCCAGGTATCTCTTGACTTGCTACTTTTGCATTCCAGTCCCCCATGATGAAAAGGACATCTTTTTTTCACTCCTAGAAGGTCTTTTACGTCTTCATAGAACCATTCAACTTCAGTTTCTTCAATATTAGTGGTTGGAGCATAGACCTGGATTGCTGTGATATTGAATGGTTTGTCTTGGAAACACACAAAGATCATTCTGTCATTTCTGAGATTGCACCCAAGTACCACATTTCAGACTGTTTTGTTGACTATGAGGGCTACTCCATTTCTTCTAAGGGATTCTTGCCCACAATAGATCCAATGGTCACCTGAATTAAATTCACCCATTCTAATCCATTTTAGTTCACTGATTCCTAAAATGTCAGTGTTTACTCTTGCCATCTCCTGTTTGAACTTATATGGTAAGTAACAAATAATTGCTTAAAATATTGTGATAGTTAACAAGTGATTGCTTAAACCTAAATATTCCCATATATATCAATCCAGTCAAAGAGTTCATCAAAGGGAATTTTCTTTTTAAACACTGAAGTACCTTGACATTGCACTGAAATCTCTGCTTCTGGCAAGGCAGATACAGTACTTTCAGCAATGGGAGTCTTCTATTTTACACTCTCCAATACACACACTGGTTTGCACAATAAGAAATATGACAAATAACCTTGACCTACAGCTCAGAAGTTCAGGAAAAGCTAATGTATCATTTTTATTAATAACTGCCCCCCTGTGTTTGACACA